CCTCTGCATTAGACATTAGGGATAAGTCACTGATGAAATGATCTGTAAATAGCCAGAAAAGAAGAGATACTGTGGTTAACAAATAGAAAATATAAGAAATGTGAAAACAGTATCTGCTGTGTTCACATGCCCAAAATACGAATTAGAAAAAGACAGCACATGAGGGCGCACTATTTGGGTATCTTTGGAGAGTACTTTGTATATATCCTGCCCTGAAGTGAGAGGGTTCTATTGCTTATCCTTCGCAGAAGTGTGAAACAGGTACCATTTACAGGAGAATGTGTCAGTTTAGGCAGTTTGAAAATGCAAGAGAGGCGATGTGAGGATAAACTGAGTATTTCAGAACAATTTCAAAGGTTTCATATAAACAATGAGCTTTCCTAATTAGCACAGAAGTCAGTTCAGAATGGATTGCTGTTCCCGGCAGGAGGTCGGGAATCACCTTGGCAAGTTGCATCCAAGAGCATCCTGTGATCTCAGCCGATTTGTGACTGCTGAGGGCGCATTGCACATGGACAAGGAAACGGCAGCCCAGCTTGGAGCTCACACCCCAAAGAGGGGAGATAAAGAAGGGAATGGACATGGGAAAGTCGCAGTAACCAGTGTGCTGGTGAGAAACAGAACCAAGGACTCTTGGCACCAAAGTCCAAGGCCTGATGTTGACACATCCTCATCGCAGGATCATGTTTTTTCCTTTATGGAAAGAGAAACAGTTTTGCTAAAGTAACCACAGAGTCCATCCCCCTGCCTAGCAGAACTGCCTTTCAAATTGTGACTCTTTCACACCCACATCCATCCTGAGTTTGCTCAACTACTTTGCACCTGACAAAAACTGAGACCCGTGAACTTCTGTCCCTCCTTGAGTGTCAAGCAGTTACCTAGGAGGAGGAAACTAAGCCTGATCTGGCCAGTTGCCACGTGGACAGGCAAAGGTTGCCTGAAGTGACACTGCTGCAATGGGAAGTTGGTTTAAGCGAGGGAGGCAAAACTTGGCACAAGCAAACCAATAGATTTACTTGGGAATCTAGAAAGATTTAGATTACCATGAGCCCTCTTGCCATCCTGTGAAGGAAGCACGGCGAGAGCCATGGGAGCTGCATCTTGCCCCTTTCAGCCACTCTTAGGAGAGGCAACATGAGGGGCAGGAGGGGAGCTCAGCTCCAAAAGGCTCTGTCACTCTGTCACGTCCCGCAGCCAGGGTTTGGAAGGGCTAATGCTCTAGAGAAGAGGCTCTTCCCTGCTCTAGACCCACTTAACACTCAACTTTTGACAGCTGGTTGCTCCTCCAAAAGTCCTGTGCAGCTGTTTTGATGAAGCACCTTGTTCCAAGAACATGGATAGATGCAGGGTTTCCATTAGGAAGATGGAGACTATTTTGGTAAAACACTTCTCTGCGGTTCACATGACAATAAGAGGCTTCCAATGCAGCCACCTAGCAGTCACAACTTGTAAATGGCTTTGTCATTCATGCATAGATTTCTCTAAGTACACATAACCAGAAGACCGAAAGTCTGCTATTTGCAACTCAAGTCCACTGGAGGACCTCTGGGAACACACAGACCAAAAGGCAAGTTTTCTGTTAGAATCCATAGCTTTGCACCAATACCCTTCAGGTGAGCACGATGCTGGGCAGAATCTAAACCCTACCTCCTGACAGAGGAATTCCCTACCTCTTGCCCCTGTGTGGGACAGGTCATACTGGTCGTATTCCACACCATTAACTCTGTCTCTAGTACTCGGAGCAGACATAGGCCTGCTGGAGGACAGAGCACCACTCCGACGGGGCATGCGCTGCCGCTCTTCCCTCAAAGCGGACAACTGCATTTTCTCCCCACTACATTTTTTTCACGTCATGTGTAGGCAACGTTCCAGTGTCCAGTATCTCTAGCTAGTTTTGGGGTGCATGGGCGAAGCCCACGGCAGCGCGGGGTCCGGCCTCGTGTCACACGTGCCTGACTGCAGCCCTGGGGGGCTGGAGGCCCATGGTGCCACCTGGACCAGGCGGAGGCAACTCCGCGCGTCCCAAGCCAGGAAGTTGGCTCGCAAACCAACTGCTTGTGCTGCATAAAACCAAATCGCTATTTAAATGGATTAACAACTTCCAACTATGTTAAGCCTAATTTCCTTTGTGCAACAATGTGTTTAATTGCAGAGATTCTAATTTATTACTGCAGAGCCCAATCCCAACTCTAAGGATAAATTAAAGTGACAGCTAAATGGAAGTTTGGAATTTAACTTTCTGACTTATCTGATTTGATGCAGATACAAATATTTAAAATCAGACAAGGAAACAAATAGCTTGTGTCTAAGAAGTTCCAGCTGGAATGAAGAAAAAAGGATTTCAGAGAAGGAGAGGCTGCAACAATTAGTAAACTGCCATAATCCTTGAGGGCACAAATCAGCGCTAACTACAGCATGCTGCACTTGCTCTGTGAAGGAGTCATTCGTTGGGGTATTTTCCTGCTTTGACAAAGAACTACTTTGCTATATTGTGAATAAATAAAAAACCTTGATTTTAACTCTCCTTTACACAACTCTCATACCCTGTTCACAAGGGAGAGGGGCAAACAACAAGTCTGTTATGTGAAACATGCTGGATTTGCTATGAGACTTGTGATATCCTGCAGGAAAAAGAAGAAAACAAGTAGCCTGTGAAGACACAGGGCAAGGAAAGTCTTTGAAATGTTCCCTATAGGTGTTAATACTATTTTTTCTGCCAGTAAGGCAATGTTTCCTTCAATTTTCTTCTAATCGTATCCAACCCTGTTCTTCTTTCCGAAGGCTGGGCTGAGATTCACCTTGTCCAGCCTTAGCGGATGCTACGGGCCCCGCTGGGTCCTGCTTAGGCTCCCTCTTTAATGGGCTGGGACAGGCAAGGATCAGCAGCAGGGATGAACTATTCATGCATGCTATTTTGCTGTTTTTGTTGGAACAGATCGATGTTAAATTAAAAAAAAAAAAATTTTAAAACATCTTTCTTTAAAGTCCTAAAATTCAAACAAGATTTTCAATCACCTGTTTTACACGCAAACAAAACCAGCTGTCTAATTCCTCGTGTAACACCCCTGTCACAGTTCAGAGCTAGGCACAGGGAATGCGCTCATTCCGGATGCTCCGGCTGCCTGAGGCGCAGAGCGCAGCCGCGAGCGCCACCCGGGCCCCACGGAGCCGCTTGGAGCGGCCGTGCTGCCGCATCATGAGCTGCTCGCGCAGGCGGTGCTTGCTCGGGCGGCGCTTGCACGGGCAGCAGCGGGGCGGGCAGTGGCTGACGCGGGGGGCTGGCACTAGCCATGTGCTCGCTGCACACGTGGACGTGGGCGCTGGCTGGGCTGCTCCGGCGCGCTGAGGTCACCGTGACCTTCCCAGGCAGCGCGCACCGCTGCAGCCGGGCTGTGGAGCTCGCGAGCAGCGGCGCTCACAGGCTGCGCTCATGCAGCGCTCGTGGGCTGTGGCGTGGCTCATCCTGCGGCGCTCATGGGCTGCGCTCGTCCTGCAGTGCTCATCTTGCAGTGCTCACAGGCTGCAGCGCTGCTCGTTCTGCGGCTTGTCCTGCGGCACTCACAGGCTGCATGCAGCCCTGCTGCAGCTGCCCCTCTGTACAGGTACCGGACCACGTGGAGGCCCTCGGAGCCTCCGGCAGCTCCCAGCACGGGCCAGCTCCATGCTGCCAGCCCCAGCGGCTGTGCTGCAGTCGCTCTGCCGTGACACACATCCCGCGCGATGCAGCACGGGCAGCTCTGCTCCCTCTGCGCCACCTCTGCCCCGCTCTCCCCCGACACAGAAGCCCCAGACTGCTCTGCCCCTCTGCACCAGGCAGAGCCCCTCCTGCAAACCCAGGGGCATGCAGCAAGAAACGACCCAGCGCGAGGGCGAAACGAGAGATGAGTGATCCCGCTCCCTGCTGCGACCATGGCCTTCTAGGAACCGATAGCAGCCAACTCATCTCACACCTGCCATCAAACTGCCATCAGATGTCACCAGCCGCACTGTTTTGGTTTGGACACGAGTGTGTGATCTAGAAAAGCAGCAACCTATACATCCAGACCACATGTCTGAGACTCCCAAAGCAGCCTGGGCTGAAAAGCTCTCACGCACACCCAACACAACGGGAAAATGAGGTGAAGGCCAGGACAAGGAGGAGGGCTCCACTGTAGCAGAAACAGCACGGTATCTTAAGGAGTTTCCTTGTTAGTTCTGCCCGGGGAACATGTAGCTCTTTGCCTATTGGGATATAGGAGGACCGCAGCAGCACTTTATAAATCTCCAACACACAATACAGTGCAATACAGGTATCACCATGAGCTTAAGCAAACACCAACATGCACAGATATGCTTGGCATTGGAGAGATACTGAGAAAGATTGTAAAAAAAGAAAGAAAAAGCCAGGGCAGAAAAGCCCATTTGTTAACAGTGGTCAGTGTGCTCTACTCTGGCCAAAATGCACAAGCTCTTTGGCCCTTTTCACTTACAAGAGAGAGGTACAACTTTTGCAAGCTTTCCTCTTCCTTTTACTCAGTTGAATTAACTTAAACTGCATTGCAGGCTATTGATTTCACAACCACAAAGAATACCTCCAAGAACAACTTCTGTGCTACCATTAACCCATTGTACAAATATTAAATATGGAAAATGCGCTGGGTAAGAACAAATAAATTCATAAAGCAGTTGACAAAACTGCTGACAGTGCCAAGTATGGGATAAACAACAGGCAATTACTGATGCTTATTCCACTCAGGCTCCAAACACTACAACTGAATTTTATGTGCACTTTCTCACAGATTCACTCTTGGTATCCAATCCATTTGGAGCTTCCCATCACATTCTTCATCGCATCCCAAAATTCCTGTCTTTCCCTACCTCCAAGTATATAACCTGCAGTTACTTCTGTCTCATCAATAATTTTTGAGATATTCAAAACGTTCACAGGGGTCTGCCTTGATTAGCAAAGACAAAACACGATGACCAGCAGGAACAAGCAGTCACCCGCACACCAAACATACCTGGATGTATCGCAAGGCACTCCTTAGAACGCTGAGGTTTGAGGTCTTCTTGTCATCTACGTTGGGGATGTTGCGCTTTAATGTCTCAAAGCATTCTTTCAAATGCGCACGTCTAAAGAAAACACAGATAGTTTGTCAACTGGTGCGACCAGAAACTGGAAATTGGATTAATGGAGAGCGAAATCTTAATTTGGGCCTTAATCCAGCAAAGCACTAACGCATGTGCACAGCGGCCACTGAGACCACCTACACGCTTAAAATTGAGTCCTCGATCCAGTAAATGGAATAGGGGTGTGTGGCTTATAAGACCTCAATTCTAGTCCTGGTTTTGCTAGGAAATGTTGTGCAATCTCAAATAAAATCTCACCCGCCTATGCTCTTGTTTTCACTTTTCCCATGTTTCTGATACAGCTGTTTACACTGTGTAAGTTTTGGATCGGGAACTGATCTTTATTTTGCATTTACACGGGACCCTGGCCTCTGTCTTGGCTAACAAATTTCTTTAACTCAAATACGAAACTACACCATTATGCACATGGTGATTTACTTTGCAGGATCAGGGTTTTGCAATGTTACTGTAATGCAATTACGCAGCTAAGAAAAACATACCGGAAAGCAAGAGATGCAGAAGTGAGCTAAAAGAAAGCAAAGCAGTATTGCAATATTCATTAAAAATCGCTAAGAATTTTGTTCAAGTCATTTGTAAAAAAACCAAATGGATATTTACAGACTATAGGCAAAAAAAGGAAGGGGAATTACAATAAAAACACAACCCTGGCTTTCTACGCACCTGTTCTTCTCCAATTTATTATGTACTTCCCTGGTCCCAACCCTGTAACCCAAACAGAACAAAGATAAACTCAGTGTCAGGTTTAAAACTATTGCCATTCAACCTGTGCTTTCAGCAGTGTGTGTCTGTGTGTGTCTAGGATATAGAGGTTAACATCAATGTGCAGAGATGTTCCTGTATCACTGTTTTAATGTCATTTACATACATAATTCTAGCTATAATGTATAAAGATAAAAATCTACACTTTACATGCAGTTTCGATGGGATAAACATATATATAGTGGATTATGTATATACTGCACACAAAATACAAACAGGCAACAGCATAACGTGGCTATATATACACATGGCCAAAGAGAAGAATATACAAATTATGAACTGTATTTATTTATACTCTATATAACCCAGATTCTGACCCATTTCTGATCTACGCCTCCACTCCAGGGGATAAGATTGATACAATTACATGTTAAAGCACATAGGACTTGGCAGGAATGCTTCAAACCTCCTTAGAGTTTTACTGTGCCTAAAATAACACAGCTGAACATAAACACGAAGTAAAGCAATACAGGAATTTTCTAGTCACTGCTCAAGAAAGAGAACTGAGGCCACCTCCCGTACGGTTTGGTTCTGCTCCCCCCCAAATCAGAGGAATCTTCTTTCAGGAAAAGCAAAACAAGTCACTGTTATCTCAGGTGTTCAGCTGCTGCGCGATAAAGCACGTTAGCAGACACAGACATTTCAAGCATCTTCCATGCACTCTGCAGAGTGATTGTTTACCTTTGGCTGGAAACATGCTGACTGAGAGGTGAGCTTTTCAGGAGGTCGGTTAATATTTAATAAATATTCAGATTTTTAAATATAAATATTTGAGAGCCTTTTCCCGTGAACCATTTACAAGCAGAATAAAACATCTTTCCTGTGCTCCGCCTAAAGGAGCAACTCTGGGAAAAGAAAGAGCATGCACCTTGAGGCATGGGGTCCAAAATGCACCACAGAAAACCTTCACAATTTGCTCAGCGTCAGACAGACACTGGCAACAGAAACACTGCAGGGTAAAACGCCTCGACCTCAGGCGCCGACGTAGCCCTCGGCAGCGGGATGAGGCCCGCACGGCGTCCCCCGGCAAGGAGGCACCGTCCGGGGCAGGGAGCAGCCTGCGTGCGGTGCTGCAGCCACCCCAGCGCCTCTGCCCTGGCTGCTCCGGGGCAGAGCTCCACGCCTGGCACCCCAACACCTGCCAGCAGGAACGCTGTGCACGCCACGCATGACAAACACAACCGCTTCTGTGACAGGCTCCGCTCATTCAAGTACAAAAATGCTTATTCTTTCTGCAGCTGTATTTTATAGACATGCCATAAACATCACAATCCTAAGAGGAATTATCCATTTTCTGAAGAATTTATAAAGATAATAGCCTTATTTCTCCTGCTTCTTTCTAGGCACTTTGGGATGGCTACATCCCAAAAGCCACTATGGACCTCATCCTCTGCAATTTACCTCTCTTCTTGCTCCCGAGAGATGTCAAAACTTTCACACTTTTTATGGAGCTCACCCATAGGGAATAGGTCACTGTTCAGCACTGCCAGGCTTCGTTTCTCCAAAGACTGGCAGAATTCACATCTCATCGACACTGCATTACAGCAATGCTCACACAAATGAAGTAAGGATCCAAGAAAAAGAAAGTGAACTACTAAGTTTTGAAGTTCTCACATGTTCAGACCACTTGACTCCATCTGGGAGAAAGCAAAAAGCTACTCCAGGTCTGCACACAGCCCAAACCTTTCCCCTGATGGGAATGGAGCTGTGGCACAGAGGAGCATGTCCTGCGCTGTTCTCCTGCTGGCCCTCGTTTGGGCTAGGCAGACCGGAGACTAAAGGTCCTCACAATGCACAGAGCCTATTTCAGCAGAGCAGCCCTGAGACATTGTGAGGATTGGGGGGACACCTGCTGCTGTTCTGTCCAGCAGCAGCATCCCTGGATGCCTGACCAGGCCCCCTCGCCCCAAGCACAAGCTCATTTGCTTCGTTGCACTGAACAGGCCAGTTGCAAAGCACCTTGCACCGAGCCCTGCAGAGGCCTTGAGTGGACTAGCACATCCAGTCTTGGACACCAAAATTCAGAGAGAGACATCTGCCAAGCCCAGGCTGCAAGGACAACAGCCAGAGGTCTATGTAACATGAGAGAAGAAAGACTTAACCCAGGTGACTTTTCCTGCACAAGAGAGGACTGAGGAGAGCGAGAGGAATGGGTAAATGTTGCCACAAATGGGAAGGAAGCAATTTGCTCTGCCTGTCCACAAGGAACAGGACAGGCAGCAATACTGGGTTACACAGTAGAATATTGTTATCTGGAATCGATTGCCCAAGGAGAGCATGGGAGTCCACACCAAGCAAAGTCATGAAGAACATGCTAGACAAACACCTGCCAGGAGCTACATGAGGGTTAAGAGTCATATGTGAGGGTGGGGAAAGTTTAAACAACCCTAAGTCCCTTCCAGTTCCAGGATTCCCAAACAAACAGGAAGATGGTTTTGCTCACCTCAAGATTAAATTTATCACTAAAATTAAGATAGTAACGAAGCTGATCTCTATCCTGGGAAACAAAATCTTGTAGAACATTTCCACGGCCCAGCTTTCAGGAAGGTCTCTGTAAGCAAGACTGCTGTACGATCTCCCTGACCACTCTGAGCATAGATCCTTTGCCTGAAAATAGTATTAGACACCACAGGAGATCATGCAGGCAGTGCTGGGACTTGCTGCCTAATACATTCCGTCTTGGAAAAAAATGTTTGTATATTTCAGTACTATGGATTTTATATATACAATCCCTGTATATTCCTAGTAAAACCCAGGGAAAATAATAAGGTAAGGGGACCTGCTTTCAAAAATAAACATTCAAATAACTATGGATGTTATTACTGATGTGAGAGCTCTTTACAAATGGAATGCTAGGTTTGCTGCAGAATTCAGAGACGGCTTTTGTTGACTCTCTCCAAACCCTCCAAAAGCCCTTCTCTCTAAGCCACAAAGGGCACTCACCCTCCAGGTCTCTTCTTCTGCTCGTTTGGTTTGGCTTCCTCTGCTGGAGCCAGCTTTAGGGCGCTGAGCTGCGGAGGCACTCCCGGATGCTGCTGCAGCGGTGGGTGCCCCTGTGGCTGCATGGGCTGCTGGACGACGTGGTGCTGCGAGATGGCCAGCACGGGTGCTGCATAGTGCTGCAGCTGCTTCGGGCTCCCCGAGGGTGCTGCGGCAGCTTTCGCGTCAGAAAGAAGGGGGCCAGACGGTCTCTGTATGACAGGTGCTACTGAAGATGCTTCCTTGGTGACACCGGGAGCGCTTACGAGGGGCTGGTGCCTTTGGACGAGTGGAGGGGACAAGGTGGTCTGTGCTGCTTGCTGAGGGGGGCTGGTGACCACCGGAATGGGAATGACGGAGATGGGAGCTGCTAGGGGTGGAGGCGGTGGAGGCGGCGGTGCTGGTGCAGGGGGAGAGATGGGCACTGCCAGCATTTCGTTCCTGGGCTCCTCCACGGCACCGACATGGTTAACCCTCTGCACACTGGACTTCTTCTGCTCCTGTTCTCTCTCTAGGCGGAGCTTCTCGTGCTTTTCACTTTCTTCTGAAAGAGAAACAAGCACAGTGAGTATTGGTACTTCTACGAGGACATTTGCCATCCGCAGGCCTCTCCACCAAACTGCTAGGTGTGGCTACTGCAGGGCTGGTGGCTGAATGGGGCCCTGGGCAAAGTGGCGTGTGGGAGTCAGCGGCACCTTGAGATCAGTGCCACGCGTCTGTCACATCAATTCTTCCTTTAACTTCCCTCTGATTTAAGCACAGACTATTAACATACGATTACATGCTGCCCTCGGCTTCCGCCCTCGATGGCGGCACATTCAGGTGCCTGCTCGCTCCTGTCTGCACGTCCTGACAGGCCAGCAAGCACTGGGTCACGGCAGCAAACTGACAGGAGGAACACCCTGCAAGATATAGGCCCGTTTCCACCCACCCAAACACTGTGCTGAGGAGAGCACAGTTCTACACAGTTTGCACTGCCAAGGTCTGAACTCCCAACCTGCAAGGCCCTGCAGCTGTTACTATCTGGCCCTGCAATGCTCATCTTACACCCTGAATTACAGACAGTCCCAAAGCAAAACCTCAAATCCATCACCCTTTGAACAGAAATTTGTAGTCCTGCTATTAACAGAACTGAACTCAACTTATTGTTTCCCTCCTTTGCTATCCTCACGCAAAGCTTCTTCCCAACCCAAAAACTTAAAAGTAAGGAGGAAGATGGAGAAAAAGGACACTGAAGTCAATGGAAGTGAAAACTGTGAGGCCAACTGGCGGCAGCTCCTGGCGCTCCCGACGAGGACGCCCAGTGCGGCCGCGCTGCAGCCTGGCACAGCACAGTGGGGCGGCAGTGTGGGCACAAGCAGGCACAGGCTCCATGGCCAGCGTGTGCACGGGAACGCCGGGCTGGGGGCAACGCTCTCCAACGTGTTCATCAGGGTTATCAGTGAAATTCCTACACAAGTCATGTTCATTCATCAGGGAAGCTGAGAGAAGAGGAAAGCAGAGTTACAAGCAAGCAGTACTGATCAAAAATATTTATGCAAATGCCTCTGCAAAGCAGGTGCAGCCCTTGGGCTGCTGACAAGCTGCCAGCAAGGCCTTTGGTATGGCAAATCTTGGGTTCCCTTGAGCTAAAGGGTTCATTTCAAGGATTTTCTAAGCCAAAATCTAACATCAGTAAGCCACTGTCTTCTGTGTCTGACCTCTTTATTGGCAGAAAGAATCCAAACCATCAATTCATCTTGTCACTGAATGGATTTAATAGTCTCTAAACAATATCTTAATAATGCCCATAAACCTCTGGGATACAGAAACTTCCAGTGATTCCATCAAGCTGTGGGGATCCCCCTGCCTTCTTCTCTTTTTATACCTGCAGCTTGCAAACAAACTAAGGAAACACTTCCCCTTACAGATGTTAATACAAAAAAAGGCAGCCCCACAAACTTGCTCTCTCACTCACTCTCCCATTAACAATGCCATCAATATAGGATCTTCTGTGACTCCAGTATGTACAAGGCATGTGATGTTTGGGGCATTTTCACAAGAAGGATCTTGGGCTCTGAGGCAGAAGTACACCTGAATTTTACATAATTTCCATTTATTCTTGACATTCTCAAGGGGCGTAAGGACCAAGGGGCGTAAGGACCACTGAGAAGGTTCAGTAGCCCTATGAATCACAACCGAGACGACAGCAGCGCACGATCGCACCTTGCTCACACTCACGTGATCTGCAGAAAGGGTCTCATCCCAAGTGCCGAGCGTGTGAACTTCACTGCCAAAGCACCAAGGTTGTCCACTGTAACGGAGCATGGCAGCAAGAGAAGAAACAGCCCATCCTGCCACAGGAGCAGCCAGGGTTGCCACAAAATCGGCGCCAATGTCCTCTGGACTAGAGGACTGGTGCTACTTGGGACGCTAAGAGTTCAGGCAGACACCAGGCACTGTGAACTCTAAGAACCTGCAGCGTTTAAGCTCAGCTCCTGCGGAAGGCAGCGCGTGCCGAGCAGCGCAGGCAGCTCCGCTCTGCGGGCAGTCGGTCAGCAGCTCTGTCCCGCCGGCTCCTGCCTGAGCCGCACGGGGTCTCCCTCTCTAATTTCCAGGCTCCCATTCCACATAAGGCACTTCAAGTACTTGGAATTCACCAACAACACGTGCCTTTGCAAAACCAGGCACCTCACCTCTATGCACACTTGCATTCCCTCCCAATCACAGAGAAACAACGTTATTTAACGCCATAAACAGGTATGTGTTCGTAGGACTGCGGCACAAGGATAATTAACTCTCTGAACCACTAAGCGCTTCTGGCAGCTTCTGATGCACCCTGTGAACCACTACATACCAGGAAATCCGTACACTCAGTTTCACTTGTACCGGTTCTACAACAGCGTCACTCAAAGGAATCACTCCTGATTTACACCAGAGAAGCGGCAAAAAAGGAAGAAAAGTACCTTCAGATTTTCAGTCTTCTATATCTCAACAGGGTATCACCAAGAAGATGCAACAATTCAAACCACAGCAGTATGAATTAAAACTAGAGAAGACTCTGTCCTTTCAGAGTCTCCAGCCCTCACAGCAGATGCTCTGCACCTCCATTTATGAGTAAATTCACCTCTTCTAAAACTCTTCACAAAAGTTAATGATGCCAACTGAGTAACAGGACAAGCTGTTGTCCGAGACGACCCTCATTCCCCTCCATGCAGTTAAGCTGTCAGCTGAAGCAAGGGAGAACAGACCACATAAACCCCACTGAAGAGTCGCAGCACTGGCCGATTTCCAGGGCTGCCACCACAGTTCAGAGCAACAGGAGCCTCATATCGCAGCAGATGCCCCACGGGCTCTGCCAGGGGAAGCGCTGCAGGGCCCGGCTTCGCTCAGGCCACCCGGGCATGTCAGTGTAGGAACTAACAGCGAGTCCCCAAATGAACGTCTCTCCTGTCCCGCCGGGTCAGAGTGCCCAACAGGAAGAGTGCCCTTCCCTGGCTGAAACGGTAAGGAGTCTCCGAAAAAGGAATGCAGAGGTAAGAAAGAAAAAAAGGAAAAAAAAGGAAAAAAAAAAAAAAAAAAAAAAAGAGCAATGGAACTCATTTCCTTTCCCACTCTTACCCCATCCCTACATGAGGCAACAAATGGCCTTGATTACTTATTATTAAATTTAGAAAAGTTCTCATTTCCTCATTCCCACAACACTGAAGTCGGCCTAGGCTGCACAGAGCAGGAGCCCAACCACAAATGCTCTCTGAAACATGAAGACTGTTCTTGGCTTTTGCAAATCCCAGGCTCTGCAGGGAAGGAAAACTCAGAAGCAGAAGATAAGAATAAGGTCAGCAATCTCAAAGAGCAGCATTGCCAAATCCAAACCGAGGCTAACACTGAGTCACAAGAAACGTTGCTGACATAAGAAAGGGGATATGCCAGGAAACAGTCCCCGGCATCTGCGAGTGCCTAGAAAGGAGCCAGAGTCCCGGGGAATCCAAAAGCTCTTTAGCTGAGCGCTCCTGAAGGAGGCCCCGCAGAACACGGACCCCGCTTCTCGTTCCCGTTTTGCCCAAAGCACTTCCTCGCCGCTGCCCTACCTCACAGCTCAACACCTGCTCCTGAACTCACAGGTGCCACTAGGGAGCACCCACCGATGAACCCAGAGACCAAATCCTGCTCCTTCAGCCTGGTGCTCCAACTCCGCTGAAATCAGTCCGCCCCTTTGCATCTCTGCTTCTCACCAAAAACGTGGGATCCCTAAGAGCTCCCTGGCTACAGTGCTGTCTTCTTTCCATCCATCAGTTGCAGAAGACAACAAGCAGCTACCTTTTCAGATACGAAATACTGCAAATACCAGGCACATGAACAATTATACACTCATTTGTTGGGAAAAGAAACAAGCAGAAAACAAAAATAAAAACAACAACAAAAAAATCCACGTTTCAATACCTCCAATGCACATGACACACCAAAAACATTAGTGCTGAGTGGTACAGCCTAAGGAAACCTTCCTGGTCATCATGCACGTTACCATGCCCACGCAATCGAGATATACGCCAACAAGGCAGTGAGATGAGACAGGAAATGACCAGAAGAACCATGCTGGCTACCACATCATGCCTTGCTGGCAATATTTTACAAAAAGGAGAGCCTTGCAAACAACTGAGCAGTACAAAGCAAAGCAGAGCATCAGCTCATGGGTCACGGATAAACATTTACAGAAAAAAGCCCCAAGACAACAAGTATTAGCTGTTTGCAGTTATAACTGAATTTGTCTTCTTAGACTATACAAGACTCTTACATTAACCTAAATTCAAAGAAATCAAACACCCTCCAATTCTCAAATATCCCTGAAGTTTGAAAACAACAGGTAGAAAAGGAACCTCAGTTTGTGTATCTGTGCACGTACATACATAGTCATTCATGTGCATGCAAACCACTTGCTTAAGGGAAAAAAGAATGGGCTATCAGCAGGGAGTGGCAGGATCAGTCCGATCAGTCCGTCTACCACAGTCCACACTCAGAAGCCATGGACATCCTAACAACACATGCAGAACATCCACTGCTCCCCTCAAGATGTTCCTTCCCTAAATTAATGGGATCAAAATAACCTATTACTACTAGCAGCACTTACATAACACTTCTGGGCAGGTACACACACAGCAGACACACTCTATTACATGCACCAGAAGCACAAGAAGCCAAGCAATTCAGAAGTCTCATTTTCTTTATATCTCTCTGAAAATCTACAGGTACCAGTCACAAGCATTTGGAAAAAAATATTTTTGCACCAGTCAATCCCAGCAGCAAGCCTTCAACAAAACCAAGTACACCCATAATATTGAACTGGAATTCAAGATCAGCACACAAGCTAACAAAGCCAGGTAACTTGTTAAATCGGTATAGCAGCAGATATTTTTATGTTCTACTTTTATGTTACTGAAAGCAAAGATTTTACAAATGCAAAAGTCATCAGCTCTACCTGGGCAACAGTAGAATTATGAAACATGCAGTTCCTTTAACGTAATTATTTATATTTCACAGGCTTACAGTTTACTTGAAAGATAACAACTAATCACTTGTGCTCTATTCTTCAAATTCCAGCAAATCTTTTACCAAAATCTGAAATCATCTTAAAAACAAACAATTCGCAGAACACACAACTCTCAAGATCCTGACAGCACCACAGTCAGTTCCACCCTCGAGGTCCCACTCAAGGCTGGATCCCGCAGTTAAACTCCATCAAGTTGTTCTACTTGCTGATGAACTTAACCCCCATCTTCTTCTGTGACCTGCAGCTCTGTTCTTTGCAGTATTTACGAAACACGTAACATCCAGCAGACTTTTGGTAGACATCATGTAAATCTTGCTTGATCTCTCCTGGATGCAGCGCCTGGTCACCACCCACGGAGCATTAACGTGGCCTGCAACAGGGTTCCTTCCAAGTCCAAAGAGCGACGAAAACACTTCCCAAAGCAGCAGACACTGCGCAGAGCTGAGGGAGCAGGATGGAACTACTCTAGCTATAAAAAGGAAAGCCTACATGGTTTCACAGTCTGCTCGAGAAAAGACTGAAAGCGCAGAACAAGCACAAGTACAGCTGATGGCAAACTGAGCAGACAAGGGCAAAAGCCTCAGCTCCTACCAGGGAAATGAGGCATTCTGAGACACTTCTGTGAAGTCCGAAACATTTGGAAGCCACGTGGGCAAACACGAAATCAGTGTGATGGGGACCACAGCAAGACGAGACGCTGAAAGCAACGCGTGGCTTTCCCTGCAAGACCGTGGAGAGGCCGCAGGCCCCGAGCAGGCACCAGACCAGACCTTTGTGCGCCCAGGCCGGCCCAGCAGCTCCAACACCTGCAGCCCCTCCCAGCTGCTCCGGCATCCCGGCCGGACGAGGCGAGCGCAGCGCAGAGCGCAGGAGCCAAGGATGGCTGCCAGGCCAGGCTCCTATCGCACAGCTTCCTGAGGAAGGCAAACTGGAGTATCACACGTGCTGCTCTCCCAGTAGCCATCCCAACACTGCTCCCCAAAGCTTGAAAACATCCAAGCTGCAACCACTAACTGTTGACCAGGAGAAGAAAAGCAGTGCAAAGGGAAAAGTAGCTGGTCTAACTGCCCTGAAAACCCAAGCAGAAAGCCAAGACGAACAAAGCGTTATTCCTAGAGCAGTCCCTCCTGCTGCTGCTGCCTTCAAATCCCTTTTGCTTTCTTCAGCCACGAGCCGCACTCGAGGACAGTCTTCCACTATGCGTGTCTGGTTGGGAAGTGGCTGCTGAGCTATCCAGGCCCACAGGACAAGTTGGAGCAAATTCAGCCTGGCCATGGCCTCCTTGAAGTACTGCTGCAAAGCCTGGGGACATCAAGATCTACCGCCCAGCGGGCTGAAAGCAACGGCCTGTTAAAAGGGAGCACAGCCACTCACCAAGACAGCTACCCAGTGCCTCTACCCCTCATGCACAGGTAAAGGTGATGTCCGATTCCACGAGACAGCAAACAGTGCTGAGAGGAGCGGGGAAAAGGGAGGGAGGGAGGGAGGGAGGGAGGAAACAATACTAAACAAAAAACCCCAGCTTTCTCATCATTAGTCCCTGGCAGAGGGGAAACTGCTGCTCTCCCCCAGAACAGGCAGTGGGTCAGTCCTTGCCTAAACTCACACTGCACTGACAATGCTGGCAAAGCCAGCGGCCAACCTGAGTTCATATAGGCCCTCTGGTAGTTTCTCATCAGCAGATTTATTGAGATAAGATGGTCAGATGGATAACGTGCATCTAAGCAGGATTAATGTGCACCCTGCATGGCTCCACATGAGAACCATACGTGACTCTATACCAGCGGCTACTTGAAGCACAGGAGGTTTGCACATGCAAACCCAAACGCTCCATGCCTGCAAGAATCCCCGTGAAGAGAGCCAGAAGCTCCTCCGTCCCTCCAAACAGCACTGTGCTCTCTTTACGCCAAACCTTGCTTTCTCCCCTCCATCTTTCCATCTTCTTCCTCACCAAGGATGGGTGATGAGTGCCTGGCCGAACAGCAGGCTCCTCTACCTGCGGTGTGGGAAGGCAGCGGGCTAAGTGCCTGCAGCAGCAAGAGAGCCCGCATACCAGCGAGGCTCTGGGGAGGCGGCTCGAGCTCCGGGGTGCCCGGCAGTGCCCCGTGCTCCGGTGCCCGCGGCGCAGGGCTCAGTCGGGCGGGCGGCGGCTCCTGCGCTGCGGGTCGGGCCGGCGGCACCGCCGCGCGCAGCCCC